TCTATCTATCTATCTATCTATCTATCTATCTATCTATCTATCTATCTATCTATACACACATATAATTTTTTTCCCTCCAGTTACCCTAATACTGACAAAGGTCTCATGAGTTACAAATATCATCTTTCCATGCAGGAATGTAAACAGTTCAACCTTAATAAGTCTCTTATGATTTCTCTTACCAGTTTACCTCTTCATGTTTCTCTTGAGTCTTGTATTTGAAAGTCAAACTTTCTGTTCAGCTCTGGTCCTTTCATCAAGAATGCTTGAAAGTCCTCTATTTCATTGCATGTCCATTTTTTCCCCTGAAGGATTATACTCAGTTTTGCTGGGTAGGTGATTCTTCTTCTAATTCTATCTCCTTTGACCTCCAGAATATCGTATTCCAAGCCCTCCAATCCCTTAATGTAGAAGCTGCTAAATCTTATGTTATCCTGATTGTGTTTCCACAATACTTGTTTCTTTCTGACTGCTTGCAATATTTTCTCTTTGACCTGGGAACTCTAGAATTTGGCTATAAAATTCCTAGGAGTTTTCCTTTGGGAATCTCTTTCACGAGGTGATCAGTGGATTCTTTCTACTTCTATTTTACCCTCTAGTTTGAGAATATCAGGGCAGTTTTCCATGATAATTTCTTAAAAGGTGATGTCTAGACTCTTTTTTTTGATGATGGCTTTCAGTCCAATAATTTTTAAATTATCTCTCCTGGATCTATTTTCCAGGTCAGTTGTTTTTCCAGTGAGATATTTCACATTGTCTTCTATTTTTTCATTCTTTTGGTTTTGTTTTACTACAATTTCCTGATTTCTCATAAAGTCACTAACTTCCATTTGCTCCATTCTATTTTTTAAGGAAGTATTTTCTTCAGTGAGCTTTTGGACTTCCTTTTCCATTCGGCCAATTCTTCTTTTTAAGGCATTCTTCTCCTCATTGGCTTTTTGGACCTCTTTTGCCATTTGAGTTAGTCTTTTCTTTTCTTTTTTTTTTTTTTTGGCTAGGCAGTGGCATTAAGTGACTTGCCCAGGGTCACACAGCTAGTAAGTGTCAAGTGTCTGAGGGGGGATTTGAACTCGGGTCCTCCTGACTCCAGGGCCAGTGCTCTATCACTGCACCTGCTAGCTGCCCCCTGGGTTAGTCTATTTTTTAAGGTGTTATTTTCTTCAGTATTTTTTTGGGTCTCCTTTAGTAAGCTGTTAACTTGTTTTTCATGATTTTCTTGCATCATCCTCATTTCTCTTCCCAGTTTTTCCTCTGCTTCTCTTACTTGCCTCTCAGAATCCTTTTTGAGCTCTTCCATGGGCCTAGGACTGATTCATAATTTTCTTGGAGGCTTTGGATGTAGGAGCTTTGACTTTGTTGTCTTCTTCTGGTTGTATGTTTTGATTTTCTTTGTCACCAAAGAAAGATTTTATGGTCTGACTTTTTTTTCGAGGTTTGTTCATGATCCCAGCCAATTACTTGAGTTACTCCTTGTTAAGGTAGGGGTCTGCTTCCAGTGTGGAGAGTGTACTGTCCCAAGCTTCAGGGGTTTTGTGCAGCTGTTTTTAGAGATACTTCTAGAGACCTGTAAATTTTCAGTTCTTCCAAGGTGTTAGGATAAGGGGCGAGATGTTTACTCTTTTCCTGGCCTGGGCTCTGGTCTATGATTGACCACAAGCACTCTTTTCTGCCTTGGAACTGTTAGGGTGATTTCCTCTCCACTGCCCCCAAAAGCTTCACCAGGCCAATGCTCCTGCTCACCCCAGGACTGCCACCTAGAACTGCAACCCAGATCCAAGCAAAGGCAAAGCAAGAGAATTCTGCCTCAGTGCCAGCAAAAAGATCCCTACAATCCCTCTCTGATCAGCCACTTGATTCCCCCCTCCATCTGTGGGCCAAGAACTTTGGAAACAGCTGCCACCCTGGGGCTGCACTGGGATTGGGGCTGGACTGAGCTCCTCTCTCACCATGGTCAGGTCAATAGACCTTTCTTTCTGACCTTCTAAGTTGTCTTTGGTGTTTGTGGGTTGAGAAGTCAGGAAACTGCCACAGCTGCCCATGATTCAGTCCCCTGAGGCCTGCTTCAGGTTCTCTGAGGCCTAGTCTTTGCCTGCACACACGCCCACGCTGAACTGTCTTCCTCCCCCAGCCTGCCGCAAGAGACCTTTCCTGCTGACCTTCCAGTTTGTCTTGGGCTGGAAATTTGTTTCATTCTGTCTTTTTGTGGGTTCTGGTGCTCTAGAATTTGTTTAGAGCCATTTTTTACAGGTATCTAGAGGGGTTTGGAGGAGAGCCCAAGCAAGTCACTGCTTTTACTTGGCTGTCTTGGCTCCACCCCTATGTACTCCCAATAGTTCTTGCTCTGTTAGAGTTTACATTCTATCAGGAGAGACATATACATAAGTATATGTAGAATATTAGGTAATGGGGGGGTGGAGAAGAAGTAGTTGGAGATATATTCTCCACGGTCAGTAACAGAAAGGTCTTATCTGTAACAAAACTTTAATAGTAGTGTCCTTTTTCTGTAGGAAAAAAGGAAATAAAATAGGTTTCATTTAAGGAAAGCTGAACAAATTGTACAATTGTGATTGCAGATGTAATGATTTATTACTATACTGTTAGAATAAATAAGAGGAATTCAGAGGAATATGGAATACTTTATAAAGTGACTGAGAATGAGAAAAGAAAAACAAAAAGAATATACATTATGCATGTAAATGATAGCACTTAAAGAGCTACCAGCCAATCAGCAAGCATTTATTAAGCACCCTCTGGGAACTTAAGAACAAAAACTAAACAGTGTCTGCTTTTAAGGAGTTTACCTTTTAGCAGCAGACAACATGAACATATGTAAGCATATACAAAATTAATACAAAGTAATGGCTAGGGGTTATCAGGGTGGGGAGGCAGGGAGGACAGTGTTAAGAAAAGCTTAATGTAGAAAATAGTGTGCTTAAATTGAATATTGAAAGAAAAAGTATTCTAAAAGCTAACAGTGAGGAGGGGAATGCATTATAGGAATGGAGGACAACTAGTACAAAGGAACAGAGGTGGAAAGCCATGTGAAGAACAGTAAAAGAGCCAGTTTAGCTGAACTAATCAGTATAGAAAAGGGAGCAATATATAATAAGGTTGGAAAAGTAGGTTGATGCCAGGTTGTAAGTGTCTGAAGCGTGATTTGAACTCAGGTTTTCCTGACTCCAAGTCTATCTGCTATACCACCTAACTACTATAATAACAATATGTAAAGAAAAACAATTTTGAAAGACTTAAGAACTCAGATCAGTGCAGTTGCCAACCACAATTTGAGAGGTTTGGTGAAGAAGCACTCTACCCACCTCCTAACAAGGGTTAATGTACCTTAAGTGCAGATTAAGACAGACATTTTCAGATATGGCCAATGGGCAATTATTTTTTGCTTGACTATGCGTATTTTTTGTTTTTCATTTTTTTTTTTTCCGTTTTGAGGGGAAGGAGTTGGGAAGGAGAGGGGGACTAGTAATAGGTTTAACTTCCCAAACAGAATTATTGAAGGTTTTTTTAAACAAAAAAGCACCCAAGACAATAGAAGGAAGTCCAGAAGGAAACACAGCCAATCAGGACAGCCATATTACATGTTGGATTTATTATATACTTAAAAGGAAAAAAAGGAGTTGTATGTAATAGGGATTTTTAATTTTATTTACAATCCTCTTTTGTTCTACTTTGTAGGTGGAAACACTCATTTTATTTGGTGTTAAGTTCAGAATAAAAGAAAATTTGTATAGATCCAAAAAAAGTTTTCCTGTTCCTATTTTTTGAACAATTAGCTATTGAGGAATGGCTCTTATATATCTGTGTTAAATACATATCTATCTTCGGTATCAGACTTTTATCAGAGCTTTTCAATTTCATGCAATCACAATCATGTTTTATGAAATTTTCTCTGGTCAAGAATTCTCCCCCTAACCATAGATATGAAGAGTAATCCCTTCTGTTCCTTTTAAAAAATTTTTAAACAAATGTTGGATTGTTTGTCCCTGGCTGTTAATTCTAATGACGAGTCCTAGATTGTTGTCTTTGGCAAGAGAAATGCTACTTTTTCATTTAAGATCCTGATGAGACCCTTCTGAGAGGAAACATTACTAATATATTTCTTCTTTTATTGTGCAACATAATAACTTGGGTTTTTAAAAAAATCTCTATTTTTTACCCCTTCAAAGAAACTACCTCTGTATGTTCTGGATCAGTTGATGGAGTTGAATATTCAAGGCAGAAGGAAAAAGGGATTTTGAAGATGACTCTGCCAATGACACTTGCATTCTGCTATATGTCATTACTTTGGCAGAGGGAAACAATTACCCTTTCAGATCTCTTGAGGTAAGATGAATATTCAGAGAAGAAAAAACAAATTATTGGTATTGTGTGTAGTAGCACTAATTGGGGGGAGGAGTAGTTATTGCACATTTCCATTTTACCTTAGAGACTCAGAATGAATGAATGACCAAGAGATAGTGAGGCCTGAGTTCTAAATCTGAAGCCTAACTCCTACAGTAGTAACTAACCTCTCCTTAGTGTCTTTGTTTATATAGTGGAAATAGTCATAGTTACCTTACAGGCATGTTTGAAAGATTAATTAACTAATGTACTTGAGATACTTAGAAGATTATAAGAGCCACTTATGCCGCTAAGTGTTTTTATTAAATAGTTTGATTTATAAAAGAAAAAATGAGCAGATGGTCTTCAGATTTCCTATGTGATCATTAGTAACTAAAAAAAGTGTCAATAAGTTGTCATATATATCAGGGATGAAAATAAGAATATTGAGAAAACCTAATGTATAATCAACTTTTGCATTTTTTAGAAAACATGCAGGTTTTTATATTTGATGAGCAGATTTCAGGATTATGTATAGGAGTGCCTCTTTAAGTATTAGATATACCAGATATCATAACATGTTACTGCCTTACTTTAGGAAATCACAACCTATTTCAATATAATAACAACAACAACAACAATAATAATTACAGTAATGTAGCACTTTAAGGTTTATGTGTTTTACATGTATTTTCCTCACAGCCCTGTGAAGTAGTTGCTATTATTGTTCCTGTTTTACAGATGAGAGAATAAATAGATCAGGGAGGTTAAGTAACTTGCCCAAGGTCATACAGGTAGTTCAGTAAATGTCTGGGCTCAGATCAGAGCCCAGATCTTCCTTAATCCAAGTCCAGAATGCTATTCCCTGTTCAGGATAGTTTTCATTTTTCCACTCCCATGCCAGTCTTGAGCCAAGATGACAGGGAAAGTCAGAGTTGGAATCTTCTCTTTAAAATTATTGTGGATTTTGCTTGTTGGAAACACTCTGTGAAATAGTTGATTAAAAAAAAATCTTTACTATCTGATTCAATTAAATGGAAATCTGTGAAATATGTCGTGAAGATCAGAATCATGGACTCTGAATTCAGAGTTGGAAGAAACTTTAGAGGCCATCTGCTTTAACTTGTATGTGACTGAAACTCCCCTTCCGTCATCACCAACCAAGTAATCATCCAGGCTTCATCTGAAGGCCTCGAGTGAGATGGAACCAATTACCTTCTTAGGCAGCCCATTTAATATTAGGATAACTACAAAATCAGTTATGAAGTTTTTCCTGATGTCAAACACAAATCTGCCTCTCTGAGACACCTATCCTTTACTCCTTCATGAGGTAAAACAAATATAAACCCTTTTCCATGTGAAATCTCTCTGAATACCAAGGGTCTGGTTACCAGCTATCTTGAAAACAGATATCATGTCTGTAATGTGAGCTGTATACCAGCTAAAGTCTTTTCCCTATAAAATTTCATAGTGAGTTGGATATTACATCCATCTAATGTTTTAAAAAAGTTTCCAGAAACATAGTTAATAGTTTAATATGAACTTGAAACTTCAGCAAGACCTAGTAAACATGTTTAAAACTAAATTTAAAAAGAATTTTGACATGCAAATAACTAACCATTTATCATTTATTTTCTATTTTTCTCCCTAATATCTTTGTTCAGACACTAAGTATACTTCTTTGTTTTCGTGTAGTCAAACTCATTATAAATATTGTTCTTCCAGTTCTCTTTTTTTCACTTTTGTCAAATTGTCACAGCCTTGAGCATAGACATGCCTTATAGAATAGAAAAAGACTCAGAAGATGGGGTCAAGGACCCAGCTCTTCATTAACATTGTAACAGTGATATCACTGCCAGCGCTTCCTCTGATAAGTTATGGTATGGTCCATTGTATGAGATTCTCTACAGGGACAAACACAGAAAGAGACACATAAATGAATACATGTAGACACAGCAAAAACTGGTGAGGTATACCCAGAAATGAATTATTCTGCCTCAAGCCTCAGGTGGCTCCCTTATCCCACCCAGCAATCATGCTAAAACACTCACTTTCATGGTCAAAAGATAAGGACCAGTCTAGACACCAAGCACAGAATCCTGAGCAGTTTCAGAGGATGAGTTGCCTATAGTATTGTTGTTCTTGCCTCATTTTGATAGCAACTTTGTGTTATTTCACATAGGTTTTAATGTTTCTTTATTGACTGATAACTTTGTACAATGATTCTTTTCATATCTTCTTATCTCTTCCTATTGTACATCTTCTCAAAGATATTCTTTACTCCTGTTCTTTGAAGTTCCTCATTGGTTATATATTGCAGGCCACTTGCACCCAGGATGTACCTCTCTATTGCCTTCTATCTCTTTGGATATATCCTTAATCATATTAGGGGTCAAAGATTATGCACAGTTTAATGGCTTTTTGTGCATATTTCCAAAGTGCTTTTCCAGAATAGCTGGACCAGTTCACACCATGTTGCTCCACCAATCATGCATTAATATCTCTATTTTCCTGTTCCTTCTCTAACAACTGTCATTTTCCTCTTTTGTCATCTTTGTCAATCTGATGTGAGTGAGGTAGAACATCTGAGTTGATTTAGATTTTATTTCTCTAATTATTATTGATTTGGAACATATTTTCATGTGATTATTGATAACTTCGATTTCTTCCTTCTGCCTATTCATATCATTTCACCATTTATCAGTCAAGTAATGGCTTTCATTTTTGTAAATTTGGATCAGTTCCTTATATAACTTGGTTATTAGACTTTTATCAGAGAAACTTGCTGTAATGATTTTTTTCCACAATCCTTAATATTCTTCTAACTTTATAACTGTACTGGCTTTGTTTGTACAAAACTTTTTTAATTTTATGTAATCTCAGTTATCCATTTACCTTCTGTGATGCCATCTATCTCTTGTTGGTTCATGAACTCTTTCTCTATCCATAGATCTAACAAGTAATTTCTGCCTTGCTCCATCTGTAATATGACCTTTTATATCTGTGTCATGTATCCATTTGGAGTATCTTCGTATATGATATGAGATGTTGGTTTATGCCTAATTTCTCTTGGACTTCTATTCATGTTTCCCAGTATTTTTTGTCAGTGAATCCTTATTCTAATAACTGGGAGCTTTGGGTTTATTGAATGTTACACTACTGTGCTTGTTTGCTCTTGTATATTGTATACTTTATCTGTTCTAATAGATCTCTCAATTTTTAACCAGTCCCAAATAATTTGAGCTTTACTTTATGTATTATACTTTGTAGTATAGTTTTTTATCTGTTACTTGTAGGTCCCTTCTTTCTCAATTTTAAAAATTATTTCCCTTGAGATTCTTGACTTTTTGTTCTTCCAATTGAATTTCATTCTTATATTTTCTAGGTCTGTAAAATAATTCTTTGGTAGTTTGGAACAGCACTGAATAAGTAAACTAATTTGGGTAGTATTTTTATTTTTATTATTTTAGCATGAACTACCCATAAGCAATTAATATTTATCTAGTTACCTACATCTGTCTTTATTTCTGTAAAGAACACTTTATAGTTTTATTCACATAGTTCCTGGGTTTGTCTTGGTTGATATACTCCCAAATATATTCTCTAGATCAGTGGTTTTCAGAATGTGGTCTAGTGACTCCTGAGGGTCTCTAAAGCCTTTTTACAGGATCCATGAGTTGAAAAGCTTTTTTCATAATAATACAAAGACATTTTAATTTCCAATATGATAAATAACAACAAATATAATCCACATTCGCAACAGTTTTTTTCCTGGTCCTCAATAATCTTTAGGTAATGTTTCAGTAAAGGGGTACAAAGAACAGAAAGTTTGAGAACCTCTTCTCTAGGTGGATGGAAAGCAGTGTCATTAAAACCTGGGGAGGAGAGAATATCCAAGTGAATGATCAACATTGTCAGAGGCGTCAGAGAAGTAAAAAAATATATACGTGAGAACTACTGAGAAAAGGCCATCCAATTTAGCAGTTAAAAGATCATTGGTAACTTCTGAGAGAGCAGTTTCAGTTGAATGATGAGATGAGGGCAGAAGCCAGATTGCAGAAAGTTTAAAACTGAATGAGAGGGAAGGAAGTAGTGCCCAAGTACAGATGACTTGCTCAAGAAATTTAGCTGAGGAGAGACATAGAGCCATAGCTAATGGGGATGCTTGAGTCAGTGAGTATTTTTTCAGGATAAGGATATACATGGGTATGTTTGTAGGCAGCAGGGAAGGAACCAATAGGTAGTAGAGATTGAACTTTAGAGAGTATTGAGATGATAGTTGGTGCAATCTTTGAGGGAAAATGGGTGGGGATACAGAGTCAGTTGTAATCATTGAGAGATTTGTCTTGACAAGGAAAATGGCCACCTATATGAGCATATATGTATATGTGTATGTGTGTATGTGCTTGTTTAAAACATGTCTGCATGTATATTAGTTGACACTTTGTGTTTACACACACATACCCTCACAGACATATAAATATATATATAAAGACAGGTGTGTGTACATGTCCTTTCCAATTTAACGTTTGCTTATCTGGATTCTAGTTAGTCTCTGATACATCTAATTATTCCTTGTGTGATGTGAGTAGTATTTCAGAATCAGCTGTCTATGGGCAATTAGAAAATTGACTATTTAGAGCAAAAGTAAGAAGATGAACACCAACCTACAAGAAAGATATGAAAATAATTATAACAGTTCTTTCCCAGATTGTATAAATGAACTGTTGACTCCCCAAAATGAAAAATATATCAGTATAAAAACTTTGATTCTATAAGTACTATTTCTTAGAGAATTTTACATGATATAAAGTAATCACCACAAAAAAGAAGACCACAGTAGTCCAAATATTATTGGGCTTTCAGCTAAGCCACTTTAGCCAGCAAATGCTTATGATATCCTTGCCAAGAGAAAAAGATATGTCATCTGGGGTTAACTTTATTTACAGTATAAACTTATTTGCTAAACATGGAGAAGAATGGTTAAATATTACAAACTAATCAGACTCACCGAAAGCAGCAGAGGAGAAAACGATTCTGCAGAAAGCTTGTCATTTGACCCAGCTAAACCAGATTATCCCAGTAGCATTTATAGATGAAGCTGGAAGGAGGATAACACATAGTCATAAATGAAACAGTTGCTGGCATTTTCATGACAATTTCTTCTTAGAGTGGAATCATTGCATTTGGGCTTTAGTAACAATTCTTTTTATACCCTAGGAGGAAATATTAATATTACTTACTTCAGGAAAAGCAAGTAGACCAGACAGAATACATGTGGAAGACATCTAACCAGTCCAAAAATTTATTAAACCACCGCTGTGTGTAAGGAATTGTGTTAGGCACTAGGGACAAGGACAAAACAGAAAATAGTTCCAGGCTTCCAAAACTTCACATTATACCAGGATTGGGGGCAGAACGGGTCAGAATTGTGGAAGTATTGAGGACATACTTTTCAAGACAGTTCATAGCAGAGAATATTTCAAAGAACAGAAAATCACAGATAGAATTATTATCCCCTCCTCACCAAAAAGTGACCAAGAAGATAATAGCAAACACAAACTTATTTCCTTATTTTATCATTGTAATACCCTTTGGGACTGTTCCTCCAATTTGTATTTTTTAGTGGGGTCCCCAGAAGACAGTTGTTACCTTGGGTTCTAGGGGATAACCCTGTGGGTCTTCATGCCTAACACTGTAGATCATGAGCCCTCATGTATGATTGCAGTAACAGTCAGAATTAATTAACTCTTAACAAAGACACTTAAGCACAAATAGCATAAAAAGAACAATACCTATAAAACATTACATTCCTTATCATATACCTGGGACATCTTCTCCCCTAAATACACAGATGGGAAAAATAGCTCAAACTTAGAATAAAGTGGTAATGAAGTACATGTGCAACTATGCATATGGTAAATATACCTCATCTCCGGGTACTGCAGAGCTTGAAGTTGTTTCTCTCTTTGCAGAGTCCTCATATTGAATTCCCAGAGTCTACTCCTCTCCACAGTTCCTGACTCATGAGTGCAAATAGGGCATTCCTTGAACCTGCTTCCTTTCTTGAGTATCTATCTCTCTGTATCTGTGTCTATTTAGAATGTGTTTCTCTGTTCCCCACTGGCTGTAAGTGTCTCCTGTTAGTCCAGTAGTTGTCATGGCCTTTGGGGATTGGGAAAGAGGAAATGAGCATGGTATGTAGCACCTTTTGTGTGCTACAAAGCACTGTCCTAAGTGCTTTGTTGTTGTTGTTGTTGTTGTTTAAACAAATATTATTTCATTTGATCCTCACAACAATCCACAACTTAGGTGCTACTATTATCCCCATTTTACAGTTGAGAAAATTGAGGCAAACAAGTTAAGTGACTTGCCCATGGTCCCACATCTAATTAGTGTCTGAGGATGGATTTTAACTCAGATCTTCCTGATACTAGACCCATGGGTCTATCAGCTGCACCGCTAGCTATCTTCTAAGTGCAGACTCTAAAGCACCATATAAATACTAGCTATTATTTTCATTTTTATTGGAAGCTGTATTTACTCCTGATTTATGCTAATAAACTTCTCACTTCTGGCTTGGTGAATGAATTTGACATGTACTGATATAGGAATAATTTGGGGAAAACAAGTAAAATATTTAAGTTTGGAGTATAAAATGTGTACTACTTAGAAATCACATTTAGTCTTTAAAAAAGACATGAGAAGGAAATACAGTTTTACAGATAATTTTCTACAGCAGATATCTTCACAATCATATAGTTGATTAAAAGGTATAAAGAACTTTCTTTTCCATTAGTTATATGTGGGTATAGGTTAGCCTTTAAAAATGTTTGCATATAGATAAAGTAAGAATGCATCTAACTAGCTCTTACCTTGACTTGTCAAAATAAAAGATTTTCAGAAAAAAAATAATTTTTAAACAAACCTATAGCTTTCATTTATGATTCATCCTAGTTTTTAAAATTCAGATTTGTAGAAGATGGTCATATTCCCTACATAAACACTTACCAGAATTTTCCAGAGGAGATGAAGTTATATGGACAAGACATAAAATTTTTTTCTGTTGAGGTGAGTATTTTCTCTTTCTTGGTCACTAATATAATATAAGCTAACAGTAAATCATTCTGTTGAATAACTTTATATTCCTTGCTTGACTCATTTTTCTTTTTGGTGAGATACTTTACTCCATTGGATATGTGATCTCATTTATATGTTTTCTCTCCAGTGATGCAGATCACAGCCATCCAAGCGTACCTATTCTGTTTAACTCATCCATTTTTTGTTGTTATTCAGTCATTTCAATCCTGTCTGCCTCTTCAGGACCCCATTTGGGGTTTTCTTGGCAAAGATACTGGAGTGGTTTGCCATTTCCTTCTCCAGCTTATTATACTGATGAGGAGGAACTGAGGAAAACATTGGGTTAAATGACTTGCCCAGAGTCACATAGCTAGCAAGTGTCTGAAGCCAGATTTGACCTCAGGAAGATGAGTCTTCCTGCCAGGCCTGGCATTTATCCACTGTGCCATCTAGCTGCTTTTATCCATAGCCTCCTATAAAATTGCTGGAGCGGTTGCACACAATGTGCTGGGAGTCGTCTTCCTGTTCTCTTAACATTGTGTAGATACCATTAAAGCAAGCAGACTGTAACACATTGATCTTCAATCAATCACGTTTTTATTAAGTGTCATGACTTTGACTCCTTTCTAGTGTCAGTTGATGCGTAGTAAATTTTTATCAACTTCTCATTTTAAATCAACATATGACTTTCTGTATTAAATATGTATCCTATGGATAACATATTGCTAAATCTTATCTTTTTATTCATCCTGTAACTTGTTTTCTGTATGTAAGTAAATTTGTTCCACTAGTGTTCAAAGTTACAACTATTAAATTTGGTTTTCTTATGTCATATTCAGCTAAATTGTTTTTGTCAGTAAAACATAAGAAAGACCTTACTTCCCTTTAGTTAATTTAATCCCATTTACATGGTCATGCATAGACACTTGCTCTGATAGCCACCTACCATAGGCAGAATTCCGTTCTGTCCTAATCTTTATAAATATACACGCTCATCCCACCACAAACCGTAGCACTAACCCAGTAGATTGGCTAAATTCTGTAGGTTTACTTTTTCATTTTTCATTTCCATGTCATTTCCTTTTCATTCCTTTTCAATATTTACTTCTTTCTCCTACCCACCCCATCTTATATAGATATAAGGTTAGCCACTCTCTCCCCTGCCCTTGCCCTTGCTTATTCAGTATTTGTGAGGGTCGCAGTCAAAGAATTCCTCCTCTTAATCTCCTTTCATTTTACTTTCTTAGTTTGTAGGTATGACCCAAAGCCTGGGGTTGGGGTGGAAAGGCTTTTCCCCAAAAGAGCCCTTGCTCAGAATTCACGAAGATCTGGTTCATCCTGGTCAAGATGGGGTATCAGACTTCTCTGTGTCTCTACCTTGCTACACCTAGACTGGAGTAACTCTGACAAATCTCTCCAACAGAACTGAAGTATGGCTTGTTTCTAGGATTTCCTCATAAAGTTGGTAATGGGGTCCCTTCTTGACGAAGTGTTCATTGTAAAATATGTAAATTACCAAGTATGGGGCAACAGTTTTATTTCCTTCACCACTACCACTATGCTAATAAATGCTTAAAACACAAAAGAATTAACAAGTAAAGAAACATAAAACATCAATCTGTCATATGCATTATATTCTCCCAAAAAGTAAAGATAACTTTGTGGGATCTGAAATAGACATTTGACTTTCATCTCAGATCTGTACTGTCTGAGCAACAACCAGGATTCAGGTTTTAAAGCCATTCAGAGCATGGCCAGTCCTTTCTTATTTTGTTCAACTGTGGTAGCCTCCTGGTGGTACTTCTCTGAGAAGAGGTGTTGTTTAAGGAATCACCTCCCATAGGACAACTGATATCTGACTCAGAAGTTCTTGACTTCTTAAATTCATGAGGTTGCTGTCAAAGCTGGGGAAATCCTTTTCTCAAGATTGTTAATTGACTGGGAAGGAAACAAAAATGGAAATCTGTGGCCAGAAACTCAGGCTTGTGTAGACAAGCTCCTATCTGTACTTTGTTGTTGTATGGTGGTAACCACCAGTGTCTCGAAGATTGAGATAAATTCTTTGGTTCGTTCCCTCCCCCACCTCCTTGAAATCCAAGGGAGAGAAAATGCTGACAAAGTCTCAAAAGAGATAGTTGCTTCTCCTCAGTTTCTCTCATAGTCCACCAGGTAGAGGGCTTCTTCAGAGTCTATGACCCATTTTTCCAGACAATTGCAAGGTGATTTTCCTTAAGTGCATGTCTGTCAATGTCACTTATTAAACTAAATAAACTCTTGCTGTTCCCTTTTGCTATTGGGATCACATATAAACTCTTCTGTTTGGCATTTAATGCTCTTTGTCTTTTTTCTACCTTCCTAATTTTCTCACACGTTTCTTACTTGGTGGTCCAACCACAATGGCCTGCTTATTACTGTGTCTTACACATGAAGCTTCATCTCCTGTAAAGGCTCCATGCCTAGCGTGGTCTTTGCTTCTTGCCTTTGCTTCTTGGATTCAAATCTCTGGTTTCCTTAAAGATTCACTTTAGGTGTCACCTTCTGCAGAGACTTTCCCTTTACACACAGCTGCTAGTACTTTCTCATCCGAAGTTACCTTGTCTACTATGTATATACTTTTGTGTATAATCTATGTGTATGTGCCGTCTCTCCCTTCAGAATGAAAACTCCTTGAGGAGCAGGAAATGCTCATGTTCATCTTTTTATCTACAACAGTTAACACCATGCCTGTAGAAGAAATCACTAATAAATGCATAATTTATTGATAGGATAGTAAAGGAATAGGAATAGGGTTTGGGCCCGTAATTCATTTAATAATTAGCATTATTATAGCATATTAAGGTTTACAAAGCATTGTACATATTACCTTATTTGATTCTTTCAGCCACCTTGGAAGATAATATTATTATTCCCATTTTATACATGGGAAAAATAGGGATGAGAGGTTAAGTGACTTGCCCAAAGTTACTTAGCTGTGAAGTGTCTGAAGCAGGAATTGAACTAGATCTTCATACCTCCATCCCAGCACTTTATCTACAGTACCACCTCCTGCCTAATAACACTAAGTAGTATTTGTACAGCAACTGCACTGCTTTTGAACTTCTTTGGGCTACTCCATCATGCCTTCATGCCTCAGAAAACTCATCATTGGGAAATCTCATCGTCCTTCAAGTTAGAAAAATCCTTGGTGCTGACATCTCATTGATAACTCTGTTCCTCTCTGACTAGAGAGCAGAGCCATGATCTCCAAAACCTCCATTTAAGAAGGGGGCCCAGCACAATTTTCTCTCTATTTCCCAGTAGATGCACTTTCTTTGGACTTCTTCATCATGCCCTGGCACAATATAACCCTCGTCCTACCTCCAGCTTTTTTTAGCTTCCTTTTTTATGTTGTCTTCCTCAATTAGATTGTAAACTCATTGAAGGCAGGGACTGGCTTTCTTTTTTATTTGCATTTGTATCCCCAGTGTTTAGCACAGTGCTTGGCACATAGCAGCCAATTATTATGAGTATTGACTATTAATATTTTAAGGTTTGCAAAGTACTTACAAATATTATCTCATTTTATCTTCTTAGTAACTCTAGGAGGTAGGCACTATTATTGTCCACATTTTACAGATGAGGAAACTGAAGCATACAGAAGTTAACTTACTTGCCCAGGGTCACATATCTATCAAGTGTCTGAGTCAGGATTTGAACTTAGGTCTTCCTGACTCCAGGTCCAATATATTCTCCACTGTACCACCTAGCAGCTGTTTATTTTGTTGCTTTAGTAAACTCTGGGATAAGAAAATTCCTACCAATGCTGGTTGGTATATTTTCTGCAATTTATGATGCTTAGAGCAAGTATCTCATCATATTCAAAACTCATAGGTGGGTCCCTGTTGCTTGCCTTACCAAACACAGTAGGCTGCTTAAACTATATGCTTATCCATACTCCTGCTTCCTGGCCTTAATATCTTTTTCACACTATTTTCTCTGCCTCTCCCTGCCTTGTCATCCCCGGTTATTTCAATCCTATCTAACTATTTAAGTTCAGCCCAAATGCTACTTTTATTCTATTAAGCCTTCCTTGATTCTCCCAGAATAATGGTTATTCCTTCCTCATACTTACTTATGACTTTATTTGCACATCTGTTATACCCTTATGTCTTATTAGTGTGTCAGTATCCTCTATCTGAACAAAAATTATGTTTTCTATAAACTGTATCATGGCACAGTTCTCACTGCATAGTATGAGCTTAATAAATAATTGTTGAATTAAAAGAATAATAATTTTAATTACTTCATGAGGCACTAATTTTTCTACATTGTTATTCTGCCATTGAATTTTATACCATCTTCTATTAAAAAAAGCCTAAAGGATTCCCGTATGCCTACTTATTTATAAAACAAATGATTTGTAAAGATATTCTTAAAACTGGAGAGCACCCTACTATTAGAACAACTGTGTCATCACATATGGCAGTGGTTCCTATGGTAAATGGGACAAGTCAAATGAAACCTTCAAGTGGGTTCTCAACATTGCAGTTGCTCTATACACCAAAACCAAAAGCCTAGAGCATTGGTGTTTGCTCTGATTACAGGAGCCATAAAACTACTGAGTATTATATTGTGGCACACAGCCAATGGACAGCCTAATAAGGAAGAAGTTACAACCACTTGGTTGTACAGAAAGAGACAGTAGTGAGTGTGTTCATCCCTTATACAAAACACACTGCAGTTGTTTAGTTATTAACTGCTACTTTTTATGTATTTCTCTTTTATTTCCAACATTTTCTATCCCTCCCTTCATTTCTTTCTCCATTTATAATCTTGCTCGCCAAAAGGATTGAGTTTAAAAAAAGGGAATCACAGAATTTTAGAGCTGGAGATTTATCTCATCCAGTACCTACCTGAATTATCAATAATTCAGCAGTAACACTGACAAGTTCTAATTGTCTTTTGAACACTCCAGTAATTTCTCTATGTCAACTTGGATATTCTTTAGTGGA